AACAAGCCCCCCAGCATGTTTTAAAAGCCACTGGGTCCAGGAATTAAACAATGGTTGGCCATGTGGGAATCCAGCGCCTTAACCACCACACTACCTGCTGGCCTGAAAATTAGTCCTCTTATTACACTGTGCCACTGCTTGTTTATGTCTTTCCAGTTACCTTCGGTATATGTTACATCACATAGATAATTTGGCATCCCTAAGTTATATGCTGTAACCTGTGTATGTGTGTGTGTGTGTGTATATATATATATGCTATATATATTATATAATACATATATACAATTAAAATATGCAATACACATATATAATAAAATATATCCATATATGTATTATATTTATATATTTTATATTGCATAATATATAATACATATATTTATATAATATTGTTATATATTGTATATTGTTATATACATTTTATTATATATCTAGATTATATACTGTTATATAGTTATTTTCTCAGTTATTTCTATTTTACTAATACGAAAAATTTAAAATATATATAAATAGTAGGATGTTGTGTATAAAGTTATAAGGTTTTCTTATGTAGTTCAAAATCTAAGAAAAAGAATTTTAAATAGTTTGAAAAGGGTTAATTTAGCTCGAATTTGTATATTAATATGTGTATTATTTTTTGAAGATAGCATTTTTAAGGAGGATATACATGTTGATATATGAGTACTTAAATTTTTTCTCTTTATAATGTATTTTAAGACATTTAATTTAATCTAACAATAGGAGTACACTTAGCCATTTCCTTATCAGATATGATGCTCAGAAAATGTAACCACGTTGCATATGTTTGTTCCATCTTAAACCGCTTCCATGTAGCTGTAACCATTGTCCTATTCCTTTTTGTGATAAAATTGTATTTTAAAGTAGTCTCATACTCAAGAGTGATATTTAAAATATTTAACAACTAAGAAAAGTTCAATGAATGACCTGGCGTGTTTACATCAAAGCATGCTGGCAAAGTCGCAGCCTTGCCCATGGCTGCATCTCACAGTACCTTTCACTTGCCTGGGATACTTTCATATCCATTCTCCGAGGTAATAAAACTCCCTACAATCTTCCTGTCCAAGCTCATTCTCACTTCCAGTTCCCTTGCAGGAAATGCCTGCCCTGGAAGACTGGAACTGGTTTAAGCTAGTAAGCAGATTTTTTTTCCCAATGGAAGAACTGACTCAGCCTCTTTTTTTTCCATATTCACGGGGACATTTGTTATTTATGAATCCTTCCATTAAAATTGCATTCTTTTAACCATTTCCCTCTCTCCTCCTTCTACAGAATGGTCTCCCCTCAGAGAGCAACCCATATATTTTTAATGGTGATTTTGTAGATCGAGGAAAAAATTCCATGGAGATCCTCATGATCCTGTTTGTGAGTTTTCTTGTCTACCCCAATGACCTGCACTTGAACAGAGGGAACCATGAAGATTTTATGATGAATATGAGGTAACCTAGGCCTTTAGATTTCCTTTTTGTTTCTCATTCTGGAAAATGCTCTACTAAGTGAGTATCAATTGCTCTGAAGTCCCTTTCCTGTCAGTTCTGTCCTCCTGCTGCTAATTCTTTCCCTTGCTCCTCTACCCACCCTTCAGAGGCCAGATTATGCGTTGATAGGTTTCCTAGAGCAGGTGTGGAGGTGTGGTAGGTTCTGTGAGCGGATTTAGATGGAATTCTTCTGTTTCTACTCTTTTGGCTTGCTTCAGATGTTGTCTCAGAAACTAGTACCGTGTTTCTCACTGATGTATATATTTTTTTATGATGTGGTAATTGCTTCTGGCATAGCTGCTCATAAACATATTTGAGAACAGCTGTAACATAGCATTTCAACTATCTGACTCACTGGAGATGTGAGGAATAAAGATTGGTTAAGTGGTTTAAGAACGTTTGCTGAAAGGCACAGTAGGTGACAAATGTTCCCGTTTCCCTTCTTTCTTCTCCTTCCTTTTCTTTTCCCCCTCTAGCTCTTATTTTATGAAAAGCAGAAATTGGTTTTGCTGGAGGGCAGCAGAAGGTATGGCTGGGGTCTCTTGCTTTTGGTCCTGGGATTTTGGGCATCTTGATCTAAGCTCAGCAACTGATTGGTTTTGTCTTTTGAGCAATTTTGCCACCTGGCTCAGGTATAGAATTTTTATTCTAATTCTCAGTGTGTAGAAGCAAATGCTAAATCTGTGAGGGAAAAAAAAAATCCAAGGACTATTATCAGAGGCCCATTATATATAATATAGCCCAATACTTTTATTTGGGCATGACATTTATCCTTTCATTTGCTCTGTTTGCCAACCATATTTGTCTAATGCCTATAATGGTTAACAAAGGAGGTATAGCCCTGCCCACATGCTTTACATCTAGTGGGGAAGACACATGCTAAACAGGTTTTTGAAGTGTAATGAGTTTGTAAAGGTGGGGGGACAACGCCGTCCAAGGAGTCACAGAATGTTCTCTCATAGAAGATATATGGCATTTGCATAGGAACTGGATGATGAACTAGGCAATAAACAGAGAGCCCTGGCATGGCCATGGGAAACTGTGTGCCACAGTGAGGGAGCAACTTATTTTGAGACAAAACTGTTTAGACTCGAAAGAAGCTCAGGAGGGCAGGAGCATAGACTGAAGGACATGATGGTACCTGATCAGGCTAGAGATGTAAGAAATGGTTAGTGGTTCCAAGGAATTTGGACTTTTTTCTAAGGACTATAGAACAGAATTGAAGAGCATCATAAAAATTTTCACTTTAAACTATGGCAGGAAGAAGAGTGATTTGGAGAAGGGCAAGAATGGATATGAGGAAAGGCCAACAGGTGGCGTAGTGGTTAAGGCGTTGCACTCCCACAGAGCCAACCGTGGTTCCAGTGCCAGACCTGGCAACTTGAAAATCACACACTAGACACATGTGCATGCCCAAAATCCTGAGAGAAGACAGAAGAGAAGCGATTGTGGCATGGTCATCCCCCCTGGGGAAGGGGGATGATTTCTCACTTTCCCTCCCACTGTCTTTCTCTCTCTCTGTCTCTCTCCAGTGAGCACATGTGCCTTACAGCAAAAAAACCTGGAAAAAAAAAAAGAAAGAGGGACCAGCAGTTAGTGTAATGGCTATGTCGTTGAACTCCCATATAGTCACCCCCGTTTGAGGCCCAGATCTGGTGGCTTAAACTCATGCCAGGCGCATGTGCATGCCTGCCCAAGATCCCGAGAGGAGAATGGAGAAGGGATTGTGGCATGGCCATCCCCCCTGGGGGGTGATTTCTCGTTTTCTGTCTTTCTGGTGAGCGCACGCGCCCTGTAGCAAAAACCTCTCAAAAAAAAAAAACAAAAAAAAAAAACAAAAAAAAACCAAAGAATGGATATAAGGAGATCAGTTACGGAGTAGTTGAAAAGGTATCAATAGATGAGGAGTTCTCACCTAGACTAGGGTGGTGGCAATGGAGATGCAGAGAAATAGATTGGAGAGGAGTTTAGGCAGGTTTCTGGTTTGAATCTGAAAGAACAGTGGCATCACTCACTGATATTGGGGACATAGAAAGAGGAGATGGTTGGGAGGAGGAATATTGGTGAATTTAGTTTGGGGCAAGTCAATTTGAGGTACTGTTGAGTACACATATCCAGAGATCAGAAATCAAGTGCAGTCTGGAGCCCAGTCCTGTGGTGGTGTTAGTAGCTGAAGTCCTGGGCCAGGATGAGATTGTTAAGGAAGGCAATGAAGGGAGGAGAGGACCTAGAACACAATCTGAAGGATTAAAACGGGGCAGAGAAGGAGATTCTGAGGACCCAGAAAAGTAGGAGGAAAACTGAGAGGGTTTACTGTCATAGAATCCAGCAGAAAAAAAGTTTACTAGGAGAATGGTACTGTATTTAGTGTTCCAGCCAGGGCAAGAAAGGAAAGGACTGCAAGGTGTTTGTTGGATTTAACAGCATGGACACCTTTGGTGAATACAGGATGAAATTCATCTTGGAAAAGCTAGTGCTGCAGCATAGAATCCTGGCATGGCGTGATTTGCATGGCAACATGGAGTATGCTGTGTTCCAGCTTCACAGTGCTGGGTATTAAGGGGAACTATTGTCCCAAAGCAAGGAAAAGTGATTGAAACAATTTCAGTCAAGTCTCCCTTATCTACTGTTGTTCAAGCATTAAGATTCCCAACACTTTTCTTTAAAACATTCAGTACTGTTACATGACCTATATCAGAGCATAAAGAGCCAACTTGTTGTCTTCTAGACTTTTCTTTTATCTTTTCTCAACCTTTTCTTTCTGATATTTATTATAAGATGTCTGAGAAATTCTAACTGAAAACTATCTATCTAAAGTCTTCTCCCACACATCTTCCTCCAGCTGCCACAGAACACTTCTCTGAATACTTGCAGCTTTTACACAACCTATGCCCACCACATATTTTTGAAATTATCCTGAAAACCTGTCTTCTTTCCCCAGCTATACTCTAATCTCATTGAGGGTAGGGACGGGAGGATATCATTGGTTGCTTTTGTTCTTTTCCATCATGCCTAGCAAAGACTCGGGTAAGTAGTAGTTCCAAGTGAAGTCTAGTTTCTAGATTTCTTAGTACTTGTGAGAGTGAGGTGTCACAGGTTCTCCTTTTTTCATGACTCATGTTAAAAGTTAACAACTAATTAGTTTAAACCCTTTTTTTTTTCAGGTATGGCTTTACAAGAGAAGTTTTGCATAAATACAAGGTAACATTTAGACTTTCTTTTAGTATTCTCTTTGTTGTTTATACATAGTAATTTTAAAAAGAGCCAATAGAGACCAGATGGGTGCTTTAGGAAAGGTGATGGGCCAACTCATCAGAATTCATGTCATGCCAATGAAATAAAAGCACAACAAGAAGCCCTGGCCATGGTCGTGCTTTATGTTTTTCTTTGGCTAAATCACGTTTTTTATTGTGACTTTTATGTAAGTTTTAGCACAGATACAAACATTTTCCATTATTTTAAAGGTGCCTGAGATTTTTTTTTTTTAATTCAGGTATGGTAAAACAAACACAGAAATAATTGTCATGAAGAAGAGGGTTTTATTCAGTTTCCTAGAAACAGGAGATAGCAGGCCACACTCAGGGGACCACATAGTGAAGAACCAGAGTGGTTAGGAGGCAGAGGGAGCAAGGGGAAATGATGGGCAAGAGTTTTTTGTTGTTGTTGTTGTTTGTTTGTTTGTGTGTGTGAGAGAGAGAGAACGCACCCTTGACAGGGCCTCGTCTCATTGCAATCCCCCTTCTCCAGCCCTTCAGCTTCTCAGGGTCCTGGGAGCCCATGTGCACACCCACACACCTGGTGTGTTTCCAGGTTGACTTGAGGACCTGAACCTGGAGTTGCCATATGGCTTGCAACCTCGCAGGACACTTGTGCAATAGTAACAGGGCCACAAGAGTCTTTATTATGGTTTTCATGGGAGGGAAAGGGCAAGGGGCCTCAGTGTAATCAGATTTAGGATTTGGCTAGTTTAAATCATTTTAGCCTACTTTGGGGCATAGGGAATGTACCTAGTTGTCTGGTACTTGGCCCTGGGGTGATTAGAGCAGATAGTGACCCTGAGTGTGAAAACCCAATAAAGGAATGGTTGGAGAGTGTGGGCTCTAGATTGGTTGGTTTGCATATGAAGGTGAGTAATTTGCTATCTCTAGGAATTAGCTAGCCCTGGGAGGGGCAATCTCGCCACTAGGGTCAGCCAAGCCCCAAGAAGTCATAGTATCAAACATAGAGAATAAAAAGTCATGATTCATACAGGCTAATTGGTTACTGACCCTTTGCCGACTTCCTTTGGGTGGCATGAAAACTGTTGCTTTTTGTCCATACATTGGGACTATTCGGTAAACTGAACGTATCAGAAAAGCGAAACTTATTCAAAGCTCTTACTTACAGCTACACGGAAAGAAAATCTTAGAAATCTTGGAAGAACTTTATACCTGGCTTCCAATTGGTACGATCATTGACAACGAAGTCCTGGTCATACATGGTGGTATATCAGAGTCCACAGACTTGAATTTACTCCACTGTTTAGAAAGAAACAAAGTAAGAAGTAACATTTGCATGAATCTTATAAGAGAATATGCATCTCTTCATTTCTTATTTTGAGTTGGTTTGTGTTTTAGTAGTGGTTATAACTCCGAAAAGATTGGTACCAATTCTAAGAAAAATCTGTGGCTGTGTGATAAAGAACTAAATGTGTAACCTCTATATGTGGAAAATATCTTTTAAAACATTCATTTTGAAAGTGGAAAATGAAGACACGTTAATGTTTGATATAGATTCAAAAGGTGGAAAAATCATGATTTTTAAAAAACTTAATTCCAGGGACCAGCAGATGGCGTAATGGTTATGTTACTATACTCCCATGTGGTCAACTGTGGTTCGAGTCCCGAACCCGGTGGCTTAAAACATGCCAGGCATGTGTGCGTGCGTGCCCCAATTCCTGAGAGGATACTGGAGGAGAAGGGATTGTTATGTGGCCATCCTTCCTTTCTCATTTTCTGTCTCTCTGTCTCCCTCTGTCTCTCTGGCAAACGCACGTGCCCTATAGCAAAAACCTCTCTAAAAAAATAATAAATTTAATTCAGAATTTTAGTACATGGTAAATATACAGATAACCTAAAATGTACCACTAAAGCCATTTTTAAAGGTATAGTTCAGTGGTATTATGTATATTCATATTGTTGTACCATCATCTTCACTGTCACTATCATTCATTTATAGAACTTTTCATCTTCCTAAAATGAAACTCTGTATGTATTAAATAATAACTCCCCATTCTCCTCCTTCCTGTAACCTCCAGGAACCACTATTCTACTTTCTGTCTCTATGAATTTGACTATTCTAGATGTCTCATATAAGAGGAATCCTATAGTAGTTTTTTCCTAAATTGTCATGATTTCTCTTATACTTCAAATGGCTCAAGATAATTTTTTGGAAATATTTTAACTGTAAATAATTCTATTAAATACAACAGAAGCAGAGCAGGAACCTATCTAAAATCTCCGAGGGAAGCAGCTGTGTGGCTATAAAGATGCCACACCTGGTGAAGGGCTCCTGGATGGCCTTTCACGGGACCTGGGGTGTCTATTTCTTCTGTCTAAGCCAAGCCAACACCCCTAGTTTAGGGGCAAGTGGGTATGATGTGGGTATGAGGGCCAATAGCAACTGTGGAGCCAGATGGTGGTAAATGGTCCTAGAGGGAAACCAGAGCTGTTACCCCTCAAAACAGAATCACCTTCCAACCAATCTGGGCAGGTGTGGTCTAGAGCTGGAATTTAGTCTCATAGAGACAGAAATGTAACTCCTATTGTACCTGGAGTTTTTGGAGACTTTATGAACATATGAATAATAATATTGTTGCTACTGTCTTCTCATCCTTTTAATTTTTGTTTAAAAATGACCTCCAGATTAGTTTATATCTCCTTTTATATACTCCAAAGCCCCTTGTACATGTCCTACATAACAGCTACCAGACTTAAAGAAGCCATCATGGGGCCAGTAGGTGGCGTGGTGGTTAAAGTGCTGGACTTCCACATGGCTGACTACAGTTCAAGTCCCAGACCTAGCAGCTTGCTTTCTTACTTTCCCTCTCTACCTCTGTCTCCCTCTGTCTCTCTCTGTCTGTCTGGCGAGCGCACGCGCCCTACAGCAAATTAAATAATAATAATAATAATGATAATACATTTTAAAAGAGCAAGCCATCATGGGACTGCTTGTATGCGGTCTTCCTCTACATCTTTAGTTCACTGATAAAATGCCAGCACCTGAGATGTAGGAAGTACTCAATAAATATTTGTCACATACCTCCTAGGGGATTTAAGTCCAAAGCAGAGCAAACCTACAACAAAACTGGACAGAAACTTTTCTATAACCCTTTCCTAATACTGTGGTGGTTTGACCTACCTGCCTCCCCCACCTCACTGAAATGACCATACTTCCTGATATACAGCTGCTGTCCTGTTGGAATTGTTCATAGTGCTTTCTTTTACTCTGAAAACTGTCCCAGTTGCAATTGAAAGGCCACCTGAAGTTTAAGACACCTTTCTTATGTAATCAGCAAATAGTCAAGCCAGTAAGATGTTTTGATCAAGATGAGACGGTCGGTATTAACATAAAGAGTGGCTAAGGGTCTAGCGAATAGCAAATAAGATGTTTTGTTTTTTTTTTTTGCCAAATATTGGCAAGTACATGGCACACATGCTGCACTCCACTGGCACCTGCTCTGTGACTACTGTGCGAATCAGCCATGCTAGCCACTACCAATTGATCAGATTGAAAGCTCTTGCTTTCCTAAGATTAGCCTGAGTAACCAGCCCCTTTGTAGGACTTTTTGAAATATTGAGAACATATTTCTTGAATGACTCTTTCTAGCTCTGTGGAGACTCTAAGTCGAGAGCACCTTGACAAAGTAAAGACTGAGGCTCTGACATCAGACAGATGGAAATAGGTTTATATCCTGCCTTTCCCCCTTCCTGGTTGGGTGACTGGGCAAGGCAGTATAGTTTTCTAAGCCTCAATTTCCATACCTATAAATTCCAGGTAAAAATACCTGCCATATTGGATTGTTGGGAGGATTTAATATAATTACCAGCTCTTTCTTTTTTACTGATTCTTGGATCTGAAGTTTGAATTTCAGTCACCAAGATAGACCCTAGGGAGAAAGTTTTGAGCCAGTGATCTTCCCAAGATACCTCAAATTCCACCCTCTGCAGAGATCACTGTTCTGTCTGCTCATAAGAATGGTTTTAAAGATTGAAATTTGGGGGCCATCAGATGGCATAGTGGTTACATCACTGGACTTCCACATGGCTGACCATGGTTCAAGTCTTGAACCCAGTGGCTTTTAAACCACACATGGAATGTGTACATGCATGTCCAAAATCCTGAGAGGAAAATGGAGGAGAAGGGATTGCAGCATGGGCACCCGCCCTTGGGGGTGATTTCTTGCTTTCTGTCTCTCTGTCTCTCTGGTTAGTACACATGCCCTATTTTTAAAAAAATGAAATTGGACTTGTATATTGTTTATGTCTTCTACCCCTCCTTGAATGAGGTCAAAGAGGCAACAATACTACTACTTTTTTTCTTTCCTATCACAGAGGATCCTCCAACTGTAAGGATGGCTATATTTCTGGTTTGCACCTGTCATTGTAGTACAGTTGTTAACAGGGGAGGGTTAGGGTTAGCAGAACTTGATAACAATTTCCATTGTAGGTTCATTAAAATGATTTTGTTAGGTTGGTGTGGTTCAATGCAGAGGAACAGATAAGGAAGATTCTACAAGACTAAGACTCTGATTTAGTATTCTTCAATCTCCCTAGCAGGGTGTGGAAAAGGAGAAAATGGTGACCTAATGCCTTGACAAGAGGGTGGGGGGTCAGAGGGTAGGGCAAAATATCCCAATCCCAAGTGGCTTGGAAAACTTCACAACCATATAGACCACATGGCCTTGTCCAGTGAGTTCACCAAAAGTGAGTTATATGGACCTAGGTTCAAAGTCCTCCCCAGAATTTTCTGTTCTGCCTAAGATGTGGAGGGCATTTGCTACAGGGAAATAAGGGAGGGTAGGCTATGAACTAGCTAGTAACAACTGACATAAATTTTTCAATTAGCTCAATGAGATAGGACTTCAGAATAAGACTCAGTTTTATTTTTGAAAAATAAAGTTATAATTTTAATTTTTTATACAACCAAGTTTGTAGAAGATACTAAATGTTACCACAGAGAATTGCTTGTCTCTGAACTATGGCCCCTGGTGCAATGGAAGAATTTTAAAAATCATTTTTTACAAAGGTATGGCGCTAAAAAGAAACAAGTAAAAAATAATGGTTTCAGGTTGTATAAGGGCATGCAGAAGGAATATAAGAGTTGACATGCTATCAGAATGACATTTTATTTTCCAAAGAAACACAGCAGCTTTGTTGCTAGGATTAGATAACATGCTCAATTTCTGGCTGGATCAGGTTAAGAACTGCACTGCATTTAAGTTGAAGAGCTTCCAAATTTTTAAACCAATGTTCCCTTTTAGGACTTTCCTTGACACGGATATACTTCTCATTTCTCCTGGAACACACAACAAATGAAAGCCAGCTACCCTCTTAAAAGAGGAGTTTCTGAACTCCTCAAAGCCCTGTGTATCTCTATAAAAGCTCAGAGGGAGACTGGTGTTCCCTGCACTTAGCATCTTCCATTTCTATGACGATGCTCTAGAACATGTCTAGCACCTATACACGTGGCTCTGTGATCCCTTAGAAACTCTAACAAGAATTTTTCTCTGTAGGGCAACATCTCTTGTTGAAAAATGGACAAACACAATTTGATAGGCTCACTTTACAGCCACCAGTGGATCAACAAGATATAGGAGGTGGGGAAGATAGAAAAGGTGACTTTTTTTTTCTTTTTTTTCTTTTTTTTCATTGAGTTGAGGCACAACAATATGGACAGAATCCCTACTGGTGCATAAGTCTCTGCATGCAACACAATAAGCAGAGGTTTTGGCTAACGCATGAATTTGTTCTGTAGATGAGGTCTGTGTTAATACCACCAGCACCAGTAAGTGACAACTATTGCACTGACGTGAAGAAAAATAAACTACCTGGAAAACTTAAATCAAAAGAATCGTCCTCTGAACAGTTACCAAAGCATGAATGGGAACAGGTAGGTAATCTAAGTGTTCACCAGAGGGGGCTGGCAGGGACCTCCCTGAGCACGCCAGGTGCGTGTGTGTGCCTGTGATCCAGGCCAGCTGGGGCTGAAGGTGAATCGTGGTGTGAGGACCTTGTTGGAGGTGCTTGTCTCCTTCCAGTCCCTCTCCCTGTCTCTCTGTCTGCCTTTCATGGAAAAAATAAATTAAATATTCTTCAAAAAGAAAAAATTTTCACCAGAGTGACAATAAAGACATCTGCATAGGGGCCAGCAGGTGGTGTGGTGGATAAGGGCGCTGGATTCCCACATGGCAAACCATGGTTCAAGTCCTGGACCTGGTGGCTTG